TTTGTTTTCAATTCTGAGTCCTCATTGTGCTTTCTGCCCCCTTGAGTAAAGAGCTATTTATTTCCCAGTATTTCCTCTCCTCAAAGATACCCGTATGCCATAATTCAGTCTTCAAGTAAGCCGAACGGAGCTCCATAGCTCTCATGTTACAAAGCCTGTGCAGCTCATTTTCTGTGGCAATTTTCAGTATCACTTTAAAAATCCACTCGCTCCAGCTCCACATGCACCATTCAGCGATGGGTTTCAGGACCTGGCTATGCAGAAGGAGGTCAGCCTCACTTCTGTTCCCTTCGAGGCTCTTCTGTTTGCACACAAGAATTGTGTTTGCCTTTTTTCCAAGGGCTTCCTGCTCTTGCGTTGTTTGTCCGCTATGACCCCTGCATCCCTCTCAGCGTCACAGCTGTCCTGGATACAGACGCTGTCCTGTTGGTATTCATGTGGGGGTGCTTGCAGTTCGCGTGAGCCCAGCCTCCCCAGCGAGGCCGAGCCGAGCCCTCCCAGCGGCTGCACCCTCCTACTCCTGCTTTACCCCTCCAAATAATCCTTGTTGTGCTTATGTACTTCATCCCCAATGGCTTTAATTTTAAGACCAGAGCCTTCGTTAAGAATACTGTCCCCAGAAAAACACTCTCTTTGAATCATCATCAGCCGGTAGCAATGATTTTTCTTTTCTGCCCTGGGTCTAGGCTGGTGGAGGATGGGACCCGTTCGCCTGACTCTTCTCAGCTGCTTTCAGGAACTAACTGTCACTTGAGGATGATGTAGAGGTATCTTTTGGCCGCTCAGTAAGGCCAGGTCGCAATTTGGTTTATCCGTATTGCTACTGTGCATGGTTGCTGTGAAAGGGGAGTCTTGACAAGGCAGGTTGTCTTCTTGCCACCAGGCCAAGAGAAGTTCAGGGGCTCCCAGGCTTTTGGGAGTCTCAGAGCAGGGGGTCTCTCAGTGTCCCAGGAGGGCAGAGGTAAAAGGCTGCAATATCGTGTGGGTCAGCGGGAGAGATGTATTTACAAAATACAAGTTTTCCCACGCTTTGTGCCCCCCGACCCCAGGGCAGGTGTTACATTCCTGTTCTCCCAATGGCTCCTGCTTTGGGCTACCTGCTGGGTTTGATCTATCAGGTACCTAGCCAGCTTGCCTGCTTTCTTGGCATGCAGGCTGAGATCTCTTTTTCTTTCTGAAGCTGTTAAGAACGGCTTTTTCCTTAGTGGTTTTAGTTTCCTGAAGCATCCCCCCTAAATCAGAAGTTACAAAACTGCTAGTAAGCTGCTGTTTGCTCCTTATCTTCTTTTCTGCTTGCCTCAGGTATTCATTCCACCTCACACAGCCAGCCAACATCAGCGAGGTTTTTTGTCATTGCGTCGAGGGAGAGGTGGATGTTGTTCAGCAGCATTCTTCAGAGATACCGCTGAAGTAGGCTCTACCTGTGTCACTCTGCGTCTTGAGATGCTAAAGCAAGATAGGCTTTTATCCCAAGGCGTGTCTTTTTGCCTTTGAGCAGTTACTGATCTTGGCCCACAGATTCTTCTTCATCGTATTTTTTTCACATTCCCGCTGAAACATTGACTCCCAGTACGCGGTAGGCTTTTTCCAGGGCAGCAGTTAGGACATCAACGTGCAGAGGTATGAAGCTTTAGACAGACCTATCGGTTTCCCCAATCTACAGATGTTCTACACATCCACAAACAGCTCAGCAGCATGTCAACGAGTGCAGGGGACCAGCAGCAGTGCTGTCCTGGGTCTGCACCATTTGCCTCTGTGATGGGACACAAAGCCCCAGCACTGCCACAAGGCAGCAGCAGTGGCAGCATGGCTGGGTACACCAAAACCCAGTGCCAGGACACCGGGCATCGCTGGGAGAGGAACCAGGGACAGTGGCTGCAGGTGCTCACAAGCAAGGGAGAAGCCCAGGACCTGTCCCTGAGTCTGGTGGAGTGGGATGGGACGTGTTCCCCTGACACCTCTCAGCTACTGTCAGGAACTAGCTGTCATTTGGGGATGATGTAGATAGATCTCACTCACCCACAGGTGATAAACGAAGTCATAAATTTGCAACCGTGAGGCCAGAAAGCCTTGCAGCAGAGATGGAGAACAGAGGTAGAGGGGGAAAAGAACGTGACAGAGAGAGAAACCGAATTTCTTGGGAACCTCAGCCTGATGGCACTACTACTCAGTTTCCTGCGTGGGTGAGCAGATGTTATGGATGCAGTTCACGTGCCTCTACATACATGGTCAACAGCAAAGTGTTGGTAGGTGGTGCGCAGGGATCCGAGGCTTTCCGATGGGCGTCAGCCGATCGTATCCAATACAGTCTATAAGTCTAAAGTTTACCGTGCAGCAGAGGCTCCTACCCACGTCTGACTTTGCATCTGCTCTGAACAAGTAGGTCGTCAATACTCAGCAGATGTTTTATTGCTACTTATGAGCTACTTATGGAAGCACTTTTTTTAGAAAAGGCTGGAGCCAAGTTCGCTTTTACTGCCCCTTTTCCCTGTAATCCTCTATTTGCATCTCGTTCAGGCTGCACTTGTTGGACCAATACGTGTGTTGGAGAAAGCAAAGGCTGTTAAACCCATTGATTAGCAGTTGCTTCCTAAGCCTCAGGTTGTTATTTATTTGCTATTTTTAAAAAAGTACAGCAAGCTGGGCAGTTTTCTTTTTTCTACTTCAGTGATGAAAACACCAGAGCTATTCATATCATTTTTAATGACTGTTAATGTGCCTCTCACTTTACTGGCTTGAGCATCCTGGTGTAATGAAGAAGCAATCAAACCACAATGTGCTACTGGAATAACAAGCAAGTAGTGGCACAATAGCCAATAATCACATATTTGTGGATAAATTCTTTCAGAGAAGTTTGGAGAATAATATCAGGGTCAGTAATTGAAATTTGTGAGTCCCATCAAGATGACCCAGCCAGTTTACCAAATCTTGAAGGCGAAGATCCATCTGTGCCTAAGCAGTCAAGCACGTGAGTAGTGGCAGGGACTCCCTTCGGCTGTCACAGATTTATCAGCAAAGTGGACTGAACACTTCTTCTCCTGGGCTACAACTGATTAAGAGAGACATTGTCAGTGTTCGGTAATCTCCACACAAACAGCAATCCTTTAGGGAAGAGAAATGCTAGGTGTGCCTTGGGGGCTGTCACTGGTTCCTCTCTCAGCAATGTCCAGCTCCCAGTCAGAGAAAAATGCTGAGAGGTTTGAATTGGACAAATTTGACACGATTTTCAAGTGGGATGAGCGCAGATTTTTGCTCTAAATTTAAGATTTCCTGTTCTTCTTCATATCCTAAATGGTCTGAATGATTACAGAGGAAATAAAAAAGGAAAAACAAAAAGGATAATGTGGAGCCATGGGGTGGAGGAGTGGACATAAAGGATCTTGCAGGTTCTAAAAGTGCTCTCTGCAGCGTAGGTGGTCTTTGTTTCTCTTTTTTCTGGCACATTTTAATTCTTTCCAGCTTTGCCAAAAAGAGTTGGTGTCTGTCAGTGCTGTCCTCCCTTTGCATTCCTTTGCCCACTCTGAACCTAGACCTTCCCCCCACAGACCTCTGAACAAGGTGGTCACGCTGTGGTGCATCACAGTAAGAGATGCACCAGCTTGCAATACGTAGATTTCCAGGTTTTCAGCTGTCCTCGGTTTTTCAGTGGATGTGGTTGATGTGCTGTGGGTTGACTCCACGGTAGTTTGTTCACATATCTGTATCTACGGAATACCATTTGCAGCCTGTCCACAGTACAGGATAGCGTGTTGAAGAAACATCTTAGCTAACCTCAATGCAGGCTAAAGCAACATCTGCTGCACTGTGATAAAACAAGTTTGACTGTAATGTCTTTAAAAAAACAATCTAGCACCTATTATATTTTTTGTGACTAAGATTTCCCAGGTTGCCTTGTAGTATCTAAGTGAGAGAGATGCCTTCAGAGATCCTGACATGCTGTGGGCTCCTTCACAGTGTGTGGCAGGGCCCAGGGATCTATTCAGGAGGTGCACAAACTTCCTCCTATTAGTAGCCCTAATGCTCATCCATGTTCTCCTGCGTGACTGCACACCCAAACACAGTGCAAATGCCAAGTATCTGCATGTTCCCGTGCATGCAGTCTATGCCACTCACTTGTGCATGGATCTGTGAACACCAGTCACAGCCTGATTTCTTCACACACCACTTAATCTCAAGAGCTTAACGCCAGGGAGACTGATCTCTTTTAGCCTGCAGGCCCAGCAATTGCTCTGATCTCCCACCCTGGCCTTCCTGCTCAGCACAGCATGTGGAGTCATGCTTAGTGAGCCCTGCAGGAAAAATGTGGCGTGGCTGAGCTACAGAGCCTTCTCCTAAGAGAAGTTTGGGATATCTTGATGTCTCCAAGCTGTGGAGTAACCACCTCATCAGCTGCACCCATGCTAAATACATTTTGTGTCAGGAACATGGAGCTAATTCTGCTTTGGGTGGATCTCATCCCAAACTGCAATCACCAAAAGTTGTTACTCTTCCATCTGGAAACGAAGACAGCCTTCCAGCTGACCCCCATCTTGGGAAAAGCACAGACTGACTGAGTGGCCACCCGCCAGTATCTTTGCTCAGCTAAGTAAAGCTTCTTCAGCTTCTTGCTCCAGATGAAAGTTTTCCAGGCCTTAGGAAATCTTTTCTTCATGACCTTTCTCCAGTTTCTCCACCTCCTTTTTTACTTTTTAAGGCTGATCTGAAGGTCAGCCATTCTTAGGAAAATATCTCCATGCAGGTTAGCCCACGCATGGCTTTTAACAGCATTTTAACATAAGCAATTGCTGCTCTTCTCTTTCCTTACCTTCTGCCAGATCAGAGTTTGTTTATTTACCATTGATTTTGTTTCCAGACACAGAAGACAAATATTTAATGAGCATTTTTACCTCTTCTGCATTATTGCTGATACTTCACACCATCCCTGTCTAATAACATTTCTATACCACATCTACAATTTCTACTGGTCCTAAGAGATGCAAAATATTTTTATTGTCCTAATCCCACTGCCGTTAAATCTTTCACCTTTAGCTTCCCATGTCGGTTTGGATGAACAGTTAATTCATTGTCACCAATTTTTTCCCCTTTCTGTCAAACACATTGGCTCAAGCAGGAGGGAGGCTTGATGAGTTACGTACTCTAGACCCAAATGGGGCTGCCTCACGGTCAGCTCTCAGCCGACCTCTAACAGACATCTCCTTGCTGTGCACTTTGGATGGTCAAAACTAGGCAGTAGCTGCTGAGGGCCCCTGGGACAGTTCCTCAAGCTGTGCTCCTCGTCTAGTCCCTCTCACTTGCTCATACACACACACCACCCCCGTAGCCTCCGTGTTACACAGGCACGTACAGACTGTGCAGATAGCCCTGTTCCTCCATGCAGTTTGGCCAAGAGTCCAAGGTTTCTTTGGGAAGGGTTTTTTGCTTTGCTTTGGGGTTGTTGTCCCCACTTCCTATTTTTAACTAAAGGTTTATCTTTTCAGCTTGTGACAAGAGACAACACTTGACTTCTCCCATCCCTTTCTTTGTCAGCCTGTTAGCCCTGAAGAATGACGAGGCAGTGATGATACTGTGCTATGCAATGCTGGAGGGAAACTGTCTCTCATCTGTGGTCACCCAGGCCTGGAAGGAGATGGAAGAAAGAGTCCTTGGGTTTGGAGATTCGGTAAAGACACTGATGTCCGCCTTTGACCCCCACTGTGCACAGGGCTCCCGGCAGTGCTGGTCACAATGCTCTGGCAGCCAGAGCTTGTCAGCACTGTCCTTTCAGGTGCCACCTCCTGGGAAAAGCTGACCTGGGTGACCAGGGAGGCAAGCTGCAAACCAGAGATGTGGGAGCTCCTCAGCCTTCTTTTACCCTCTGACCTCCCTGCTGCATCCATCCTAGGTGTGTGACAACCTCGGGCGGTGTCACATGGACCTATGCCCTGACTGTGCTTTCTGCTCACTGAAGAGGGAGCAGTGTCAAAACATCCAAAACCTGAACCGTGTTCACTGTGAGACAAGCGGCTTCACCAGCTACATCAACCCTCAGGTCTCAGCCCAGCACCAGGCTGCAAGCAACAAGGTACCAAGTGTGCTGCATCTCCTGCTGGCCTCTGGGAGTTTTTCAGAGGGCTGCGGGCGGAGTACTGGTGCAGCCGCATGGCCACCCATGGCTGTGGGGACCCTCGTGTGACCCTCTGGCTGAAGGCAGAGTACGCCGCCTTCAAAGACAGAGATCGCCCAAGCCAGGTGGGTGCCCAGGGAGTGCTGCCATCCCTCCTTCTCCGCTTTGTTCTCTGGCCTTCATTCCCATCTCCCCAGATCTGCGACTCGGGTGGAGTTCAGCACCCCAGCTACTGCACGTTCAAGAGCCACCAGTGTCTGCAGCACAGCCTCTACAACCAGAAGGTGAGAAGCAGCCCGCACTGCCCTTTACACAGCTGTCTTCTCCATAGCTGGTCCCTCCACAGCCAGCCCCAAATCCCTGCAGGATTCACTGGCCCACTGCTTGCCACTCTGGTAGGGCACACTTGGGTGTATTTCAGGGGTGACAAATCGTGATCTGAGCACAGCTCGTGTGTAATGGAGGTGGTGGGGTTGCACAGATACTGTAAGAGTTGGCAGAGGAGACAGCCACTGATGTTGAGACAGAGGAGCTGTGGGGAGCCTCCCACCCGACGGAGTATTCCTGTATATCCCTGCAGAGGAGGGTCTCCATCTACTGGGTGCTTCCATGGTGGTAACAAAAGCCAGAAACACCAGAGCAGGACAGACGACTAGCCCATATCTTAGCAAAGACATAGTTCAGCAATCATCCTCTCCCTCCTGCTTCCCAGCTG